ATTTATTTGGGTTTGTTGTTAACAACTTGATGTATAATCTAATTACCTCCAGTGGCGGTTTGCCCGTAAGGGCACTTGGGCACATGCCCTAGTATAATAAACAAAACAAAATAACTTACATATTTTATATTTTCCTCAATGCCTATTATTATTTTATCTAATATTCAGCACAAACCGCGTTGGCATGACACTGGATGACCGGGCGTTGAGCGACGTTCCGAGAATTCCAAAATTAAGTATAAGATGGGCACAGGGTACAGTTAATGTGCGTCTCTGTTGTTTTCTCTCTCATTATGATGCGAAAAACAAGGACAACGACAATATCGCTTAGCAAGAGAAGAACATATGCGATGGATTATACGTCACAAGCGGGGCGCTGTCCTCATTGTGACGTGTGCTGTACCCATAGCACAGATTACCTACACCAGATACGAATGTACGCAGTGGCATTTTTACCGGCTCCTTCACAAAGGCGATGCCGGTTTCGGCTTAAGGTGCGCGTTTGTTGGACCCTGATAATAATTTATTTATTGTGATTACGGAAAAATGTTAGTTGGACCACTGGAATATTTAAGAAATAAAACTACAAAGAAAAATAACTTTTTTTTCACAAGAGTAGATATGTAATGATTTTTTGATTAAATAGCCACCCACATACATAGTTAAATGCATTTTGAATGGTCACATTTAGCTCACTGTAGTCACATTCAGAATGCAATTTACTTAACAATTCTAACTTGTTAACGCATTTTAAAGCATACGACTCTGAAGAAAAGGTGTTTGGCAATTTAAAATCTCCTAGCGAAAAATTTCTCTTTTATATTGTAACGGTTTGTCTCTACGGACGAGACAGTGCCAGGGTTTGCCACAACAGTACGAGACAACGAACCGTCAAGGTGACAGGAAACCCAACCTACAATCGGGCAGGCTGACAGAAACGGGGAGAAAGTGTGAATAATGATCGAGAACGGTCATGGAAGCGGTTACCATAGTTTGTTGATGATACGAGACTGTCAATTTGGAGTGGAAGAGAGAAAGCGGGTCAGCGCGGGGCGGATCAACGTTTTAATGGTAAATAGTTTACGCTTTCGGATATTTATTTTGTATTTTAATTAAATAAATAGTTTCAACCCACACTCGTGTTACAATTGGTGTCAGGTGTGGGGTAGTGAAAGAAGATGTCTAAGAAGATAAATCAGTTGCTGGTTGCAGAGCTCAGAAGAGAGCTAGAAGAACTTGAGCTAGACACGACGGGACCCAAGACGGTGTTGGTAGCACGTTTGAGGGAGTACTACGAAAGTCGAGGTGACGATCCTGATGCCATAGAGTTTGAAGATCCCTCCCTGAAGGCTGTGAAGTCCTTTATCCATGCCGAGCTTGCCGAAAATATGACCAACCTGTCTACGGAGATGTCCAACCTGTCTACGGAGATGTCCCTTCAGCTTGCAGAAAAGATGGTTAACCTGTCTACGGGGGTTAATGAAGAAGTTTCTAAACTCTCCACCGAGATCTCCGATCAGCGAAATGAGCTTGCTGAAAAGATGACCAGCCTGTCCTCCGAGATGTCCAACCTCTCCCGGGCCATGGCTAACCAGGCAGCAGAACTGCGAGCAGAAATTTCCCAACAGGAAGAAAGAATATCCGGTGAGATCGCTCAGCAGGAGGAAAGAATACCATGGCGACGAAGAAGAGGAGATCAGTACGATGTTGGAACTGCGGAGAACTTGGTCACGTCAGAAGTACATGCCAGCATCGTGACAAGACCACCCAAGATGACCCCCAGGCAGCCAGAAAACTGGAACGGGTCGACTCCAGGAGGGCGACATCGACCCGAAGTAGCCTACAAGACCCTCTCCTCGTCCTGGCTTCACTGAGTCACCGTAACGCCGACGCCCTTTCCAGAAGACCTTGCCAACAGAATTGCTCCCATTGCAGTCGCCTTGAGGAGAAGGAAGCCAGCCTGTGCCAGATTAAAGTCGTCAGCGAGGAATGGTCCAAAGGGAGGATTCAAGAGCAGCAAGAGAGCGACCCTGATCTGAAAAGAATCAGAGAATGGGTGTCAGCAAATCGTCGTCCAACCTGGCAAGAGGTATCGTCATCTTCACCAGGACTGAAATCCTACTGGGCTCAGTGGAACTCCTTGGTGATTGAAGAGGGGTTGCTAAAAAGAATCGTTGAAAATGCCGATGGCACTGAATCAAAGAGGCAGCTGCTAGTCCCGAAGACCTGCATACCAGAGATACTACGACAGCTTCACGATGGAACGTCAGGAGGACACCTGGGTGTGAAGAAGACGTTACAGAAGGTTCGAGAAAGGTTCTACTGGGTGAGCTGCTCCGACGACGTAAGAGACTGGTGCCGAAGATGTGCCACCTGTGCGGCGAGCAATGGACCACAACGCAAGCGTAGGGCTGGAATGCAGCAGTACATCGTAGGAAGCCCATTCGAGAGGATCGCTGTAGATGTACTGGGTCCTCTGCCAGAAACCGATGCAGGGAAGAAGTATTACGACAGCCGAGCAGCAGAGTCCTGCTATAAGGAAGGTGACCTGGTATGGCTCTACAACCCACGAAGAAGGCGGGGCTTATGTCCAAAGCTGCAGAAGAGCTGGGAGGGTCCATATGTCATCAGGAAGAGGATCAATGACGTAGTCTATCGAATCTACAAGGCTCCCCGAGGAAAACCGATAGTAGTCCATTCTGATCGACTAGCACCATTCGCCGGAGACCATGATGAAGGTGTACGAATACAGCGGTTCCAGGATGGAGAGAACCCCACGTCTAAAGACTGCAACAGCATTCCAGGAGGAATGGATCTGAGGAGGGGGCAGTGTAACGGTTTGTCTCTACGGACGAGACAGTGCCGGTTTGCCACAACAGTACGAGACAACGAACCGTCAAGGTAACAGGAAACCCAACCTACAATCGGGCAGGCTGACAGAAACGGGGAGAAAGTGTGAAGAATGATCGAGAACGGTCATGGAAGCGGTTACCATAGTTTGTTGATGATACGAGACTGTCAATTTGGAGTGGAAGAGAGAAAGCGGGTCAGCGCAGGGCGGATCAACGTTTTAATTGTAAATAGTTTACGCGTTCGGATATTTATTTTGTATTTTAATTAAATAAATAGTTTCAACCCACACTCGTGTTACAATATATTCAAATTAGAAAAAATATTTATATCTATTTGATAGTTTGTCAACTAAGCTTGGAATTTCCAACGCATACCTTTTTGAGATGAGCAAAATAGAATTTGGTCATCCTTGCCAACAATTTGCGAAAATGTACACTATTAAATTATTTATAAGACTCAGAATTTTTTATACTCTAAAATATGCAAACAAAGATTTGAAATCCTCGAAAAAGTCAGACAAAACCAAAATTAAAATTAAAATTTTGTCTCATTTATAAATATTATTAATTTTTTTTTCATCATATTTTTGACTGCTTTATAAAAAATAGTATATTATGCAACGATCATGTAATGATGGTTATTAATACACGAGCATTAACCGGGATACGAAACGAGCCAAAGGCGACTTTCGTATGGTTTATGCGAGTGTTTTAATAACCATTACATGAGAGTTGCATACGCTATTTTTTCTACACCCGATAAATAATCAAGACCTATAAATATTCTATTTATATTGGTATTGAACACAATAACAGTAATTACTCGTATTTCTATAAAAAATTCTACAAAATTGTAATTAATGGTATTACCTTGGGTACTGGTATTACCACAGATTTTTGGGGCAAAATATTTTGTACTGCATTTTCTCCTTTCTCCTATATGTGTGGAGGAGTGTTCTATATCGCTGATATCAGACATTTTAATATTATAATTATCGAAGTTTAGCTATCTACGAAAATTTAATACGTTTTGACAACTAAAACAATTACATAGGAATTTAGGACAAACGTCAAACATCATGCTTGATTGAAAAATTGTAGGTTTCTATTGATTAAAAATCTGTATCATAATGAAAAATCTGTATCATAATGGGTATCATTATGAAACGGATTATGGGCATATAAGTGCATTATTATAATACGGGTGTAGAAAAAAGTTATTTTTCTTTGTAGTTTTATTTCTTAACTATTCCAATGGTTCAACTAACGTTTTTCGTAATCACAATAAATAAATTATTATCATGGTCGATCAAACGCGCACCTTAAGCCGAAACCGGCATCGCCTTTGTGAAGGAGCCGGTAAAAATGCCACTGCGTACATTCGTATCTGGTCTAGGTAATCTGTACCATGGGTACAGCACGTCACAATGAGGACAGCGCCCCGCTTGTGACGTATAATCCATCACATGTGTTCATCTCTTGCTAAGCGATATTGTCGTTGTCCTTGTTTTTCGCATCATATTGAGAGAGAAAACAACAGAGGCATACATTTACTGTGCCCATATTCCACTTAATTTCGGAATTCTCGGAACGTCGCTCAACGCCCGGTCGTCCAGTGTCGTGCCAACGCGGTTTGCGCTAAATATTAGATAAAATAATAATAGGCATTGAGGAAAATATAAAATATGGAAGTTATTTTTTTTTGTTTATTATACTAGGACACCTGCCCAAGTGCCCTTACGGGCAAACCGCCACTGCACCTTCTTAGACATTGTACGAATGGTTAAGAATTTTACAAATTAATGTAAGATCCTTTACATAAAACCTAAAACAGAACCAAAAGCTTTTTGCACTAAAATTCAAAAATTTATAAAATTGCGATATAATGAGTAAAATATACCAACTTGAACAAACTTTCTGTGTCAATATTTAGCCATTATAGCTTCGTCCCTGTACCACAGTACGTCATAGTCACGTGTTACAAATCTGCGCAATATCATACCTTCTTTTTATAGTATGCACATAACCTATAAACAGTAATGTAGCGGTAATAGATTATAGAAACTATCACAAAGCCAAAAATGAAAGTATGTATTCTTCAATGTAGATATTTTATTGAAATATATTATTATTTGAAGATTAACTTACATGTAGTCTATTCCTTAATTTTTCGTTAAGAAGTGGAGATGAGTATTCAAACAGTTTTGCCGCACTAGGGTTCATGTTCAGGAAGTGATTTCCCTTATGCCTCATTGGAGTCGTATTCTGGAAAAAATAAAATATTTAAATATAGATTAATGTGATAACGACAGCCTTAATTTGCATCTACAGTCCCCAGGCAGACCAGACCTATTACCATTCGATTATTTTTAGGATATACATACCTGAATACATCTAACAATATTTCTAAGATCGCTGATACCCCACAACGAAATATGCGCCATCGAGAACCCGGCTTCATCATTGACGTACGTATAGCCATTGATTTGGTTCATTTCGTCATCCATCAGACTCTCGGTCACCAAGCTGTGCACCCTGATCATGTGCGCAGACGTGAATTTGTGCGGATCGAAATTTGCCGCACAACTGAACAACACCATGCGGCCGTTGTCTCGTTCTAACAACGGTACCAAGTACCCGGAGTTGATTATCTCGGACATGTGCGGATCCTCGCAGTCCAAGTTGCGGAACCATTGGGGATACAGCTGACGTATGGTGAGGTAACGTTCAATCATCTCGCAGGCTAGGGGTACGCTGAATTTCTTGGTGCGCAGGAACCGCAGTAAGAATTGAGCATCTGTAAATGGATGTATTTCGTTTTTAATTTATATTGGAAGGATTTGGTAAAAAAAAAATTACGAAACGTAAAAAAGAATTCATTTTCTAGCACTAAACCGCGATGTTGCCGGAATTCAGTAGGCATTTGACAGATTATTCTATTATTCAGTTCTGAGTAAAATATGTTGCTATATGGAATCATAAATGTTTAGAAGGAAGTACCTACGGAGCTTGTTGAGGTAAATAAACAAATGACTGCTGACTGGACAGAAATATCTTCAAAGGTATAGGTGCCATATGGAAGGTTCATTGGGTATGTAGGAATTTTTTGTGCATCTTTGAAAAACATTAAAGAAGCGAAATTCTAACTGACCTACGTAATGCCCGGAGTTTAATCCTATTGGTCAAGTATAAGAAAAAAGCGTATTAGAAGAAGTAACCCAGTGTCAAGATCCTAACAGGAATTAAACTATGCGGAGCCAATAAAAACCTAACAAACAATCAACCACCGGGAAACTGATGGTCCTTTGCTGCGATTGATGGAGGAGAGAAGACCACGTTGGCTAAATGCTGAAAGGACATTATATTTTTATGATTTATGGGCTATCAATCATTAACGATGTTGGGGTACAGTTACTTACCCATCTCATATGTTTCTGGTTTTTAAGAGCTCATTTAATTTTAAATATCTTCAAAATGCATTTGGGTTATGGCTAAGAGAAACAAAAGGGCTAGAATAAATCGATGTAAGTGTATTTTTCATTAGTTCATAACCTTTTCGAAATATCTTTTTTTGAGTGTGCAAGATCAATACAGTACAAAGAAGAAAAATTGCAAGCATTTGTTTATGAAAGTTATTTTGTTGGAATTTACAAAAGGTGGGTTAAGTTTTATCATTCTTTCTTTAACGTAAAGGTTTTGATGGAATCTCAGGAAAATAGGAAGCAAGTATTAAAATAGTTCCAGTTTTGTAGTAGTACAATCAGATTTTAAAACTAACACTTACTGATTACTTAACTGACTTTTTTATTCAGGTTAAAAAAAAACGTCTAATTCATGTCATTATTTATATATTGCTTTATTTTCGTGGATTTAAAAAAGAATAAAATAAATAAACTGAAAGTTGATAAGCATGTCAAAAACATATACAGTATGTCCCCCTAAATTGAAATCATATGGAAAACTTTTTTTTTAATTTGTGTCATCGTCATCGACCACTAAGGCCATTAGCCTCGTGTTCTGTGTAGGCTTTGTTACTGTTTCCCAGCGCCACTTTAGGAACAGTACTGTTAATTAGAACCCAACAGTGAATGGTCGAGTGGGGAATCCTACCAAGGCATCATAATTAATTTTAAATAATTAAATTAAATAAAACAATCCCGGTCAACAGTGGGATTCGAACCTGGGATACTACCACTGAGCCACCCACCCCTTTAAAAAAACTTTTTTCTTATTAATTTTAGAAAAAAAAGTTATTTTTCATAAAAAGTTCTCCATTATCTAAAACCTAGAATACAGTCATCAAATATCAAATTTTTTCAGTGGTATACGAGGTTTGTCAAAAAATATGAATTTTGCTCAAGAGTACGTTTATTTTTGACAAAATCGAAAATTTTCATAAAGAAAAGTTGATTAGAATTGAAAATTACATTCAAATATGCAATTACACCGATCTATTTGAAAAAAGATTATCTTATTTTTTATAAACTTTTCTACACATTGATTGTAAATATCTGAAAACGTTATAAATTAAGTTAGAAAATAATACGCTTTCCTTTTCTTGATGTTTGTGAAGAATTTAGCAATTTTCTTAATGAAAATTTTCGATTTTGTCAAAAATAAACGTACTTTTGAGCAAAATTCATATTTTTTGACAAACCTCGTATACGACTTGAAAAATTTGATATCTGATGATTGTAATTTAAGTTTTGGATCATGCAGAATTTTTTATGAAGAATAACTTTTTTTCCTAAAATTAATAATAAAAAAGTTTTCCATATGATTCTAACTTAGGGGGACATAGGTGAATTTGAAGTTGGTGGTAAAATGAAGATCAAATTTAAGAGAAACTGAGTTGTCTATGTTTCAATAATTTATTTAATTATAATCATCATTGAAATGAACATCTAACATCGATTTCCTCATACTAAACCTTTATTTTCCAATAAACTGCTGAAATATTAAAAATTGCCAATATTGGGCCATCGAAGTTTTAACCGTTAAAAGGCCCCTTAACTGTATGATGACAAAGTGACTTTGATATGTTAAAATCCCTATAACTGTTATTCATGGCAAAATGACTGTGGTTTAACTCTCTGCCGTAATTTCCTATATATGTCGGCCCTTTGTAGGTAAAAGTATAATTTTAGGCAGTTATCGGGCCATTATTTTCTCAAACCAAAATTCTTCTTGAAAATAGCTCAAGAAGAATTAATTTTAAGCAAAGAATATTTTTAATAGTACCAGATACTAATGCGTCATGTGACATACATTGTATTATATGGAAAGTGCTGTATAGCATAAGTGAGGTTAGGCATGATACGAATTCATGCTATTCGGATAATGAGGACCGGATCAAGGGGTTGGAGGTTTAATATTTTTTTGTTTTTAAATAAAATACCCAATTTGTTTAAGGCAGATTTTAATATGGTTTTAGGAAAAAATTTTATAAGGGAGGGGCATAGGAAAATGAGCTTATTTTTTATATATAACCTGAATAAAGGGAAGGAATTCATATAACATTTTAGGGGAATTTTCAATGTTCTTTGTATATTTTAAATATTAATAAAATATAAGTGGGTAGGTTATAAAAAAGTGCAAAATCAATCAAAATTAATAACATAAACATGATTAGCTACTAACCTGTTCTACAACGTTTAATATTAGGATGTTTAGAAATCCATTCCCTGAGTTGGTCTAAGGATTGTTCCCGCATACTGTCATCTTCCCTGAGTTCTTCTAAAGCGATCTTCTTCTCTCTTTCTGGCAGCTGGAATGTGTATTCTGTTTCTTGTTTACCACCCAAACCCATCTTAGAATCTGCAACATTAACCAAAATAAAATTTAGTGAAATTCAGAAATATTGTTTTCTACAGGAATTTATATTTTTTTATTTTACAAATTAAATAATATTTTGGGATACTCTGTTTTCTGGATAGCGTCCTGCTTTTTACATAAACTTTTCAAGGAACACCTACAAAATAAATTCAACCATACGCACAAATATTTTCAATTACCTTTATTAACCTATGTTTACCTTAATGTTATAGTTATGTTTAATGAGTATGGAAGAAAGCGATAAATGGACAAAAAATGGGAATGTAGGAAGCAAGTTATTATCTATTATCTCTATATAATAACAATTAATTTGAAAAATATTCTGTGAAAATGTATGTAAGTAAAAAGTTTGAACTTGAAAAATGATACTTTGTGCATCTGAAAACTGACTTATTCTACTAACCGTTCTCCATTATAGATGCAAACCACAATTAGTCGACTTTGGTACAATTCTTTGCGTTCTTGAATAATTTTATTCCCGTGATAAATAAAAAATTGGTAAAATTTCTAGACGACATAGTCTGTCCTACTGATAACAATGGGTAAGTGGGTATCTACTTTTTCGATGGAAATCGATTCATAAACGTATATGTAGTAATATTTTACTGATTATAAATACCAGTCACGTATAAATTAATAATTATTGTCGTATGAAGTTGGGTCAACACTAGGTGATTGTTGTTTGTGAAATTTAAACCTCTTTTTAATAGCCGTTTCATTTATACAGAGGGTGATATTGGAAAATAGAAAAAAATTGTTTGAAAAAGTTATACATTGCTTTATAAATTGGAGAGAAAGTACATAATGTAACTAAACTGTAACTGAAGGAATGAAAATGATAGAAAGTTGCATCGTTAGCAAACATAATAGAGTTTATATCATTCATATGGTCAAAAAGATATTTTATATAAATAATAAATAGTAGTGGATCACGTACTGACTCAAAGGCGGCTTCAAGATTAATTTCCGGGGGGGAGGGGGGGGGGGGGCATTGCCTTTAGCCATTCCCTTTTTAGCATATTTTTTTGAATAAAAAACCCATAAATCGTAAGAATTTTCATCTCGGGGGGGCATGGCCCCCATCCCCCACTCTCTGGAGCCGCCCTTGTACTGACTGGTACTTCATGTTCCAAACGATGTGAACTAGAGGTACATTATTATAAAATACTATTAAACGATGACTGTTCAATACTGTTTATATATATTTAAAAAACTCTAACAAGACACCCCTTACTTCATAATACTCCACTTTTTTTAGAAGCACTTTGTGAGAGACCAGGCGAAGGCTTTCATCAGCCTCAAAACCCCCAACTATTAACAAGCGTTGAAGCTGCCTATATAGTTGAGCAATTCTTACGAAAACCAAATTGTCTTTTATTAAGACAATTGTTGAAGTCAAAATATTAACGTAATCTTTTGTTTAACAATAATTTTTACTGTTTTACCCAATCGAAATGGGAAGATCATTTTTAGTTAAATCATTAAGTACCTATCAACTTATTTGGTATTTGGAATAATTTAGGTATTTTTGAATGAATAGTCTTGGCAGCGCTGCAATAAAAATGACAAATATTAATCAAAATAAAATGCAAACAAATTTATAAAATTAAATTTATATGTTCATACATAAACTCTACCATTACAGACTCTACTTCTAGCATAGCAAAGATAAATCTGGCAACGAGACGATAAAGTCAATTTATTGGTACACTGCACCAACGTTTTAGTACACTTTTAAAGCCTAAGTTGCTTTCTTTACGGCGATTTTTTTTAGAAAAACCGTTTAGATTTAGTGAAATTAAAACAGTTTTTCTTTAATTATTTGGTAAAAGTATGTATTAACATAGAGCTAGAAGTTTGTGAATTTTTCTTTGTGTAATCTTGCCGAAATAAAGTGGTTTTTGATGTTACACCTATCTTCTTGCGTAATGTCGTTGAATATCTTCTCGTGGTGTTCTAACTCGATTTTTAATCATTTAATTAAAATAAGTGTTAGAAGGTGTCTGCTGGCTCGTTGTTGGCCCGTTACAAGGTGGATAATAATTATTTATCTGCTGTATTCCTAGCTGTAAATCTAATTATAATGTTTTAAAACAAAAACAGGGTGGAAGCCAATTTCAATTAATTAATTTTCGAAGTACGATAATTTAATACAAAAATGGTTAAATGCAATAAAGTTAGCCCTAGACTTTGTTCCTTTAAATATAGCAGTAGTTTGTTGTAAACACTTTGTTAAAAGTGAAATTATACAGGATGATAATGATAACCTAATCAAAATATAATAAAAAATGTTATAAGAGCTAAACCTAAACCAAGTGCATGCCCCTGTATATTTGTTTACCCTGATTTTGAAGATTACGTCTAAATTAGACACGCAAAATATCAAGATATTAAAGAGATTTTTAATAAAGAAAATAATTTTGTATTAAAGAAAGCATACAAGTTAAATCATATAAGTAGGTAGTGAGTACACTTAGACCATCAGATAGTAATCGATTTAGGTGCCCCATTTTTGCATACAAGCCTCGTAGAAGGTTGAAAAGTACATCGATATTGAGTAGAATAAAAGAAAATTTACGAGTGGCTCTTGGGGATAACACATGGAAAATTACATTGTCCATTTGTTATCCCCACCTTCAATATATTCACAGATTTGGTAATAATCTGCCATTTATAGTACTTTTTCTAAAGGAGGTAAAATATTTATAGGTCTAAAAATAATAGCTTCGTTGTTTGTACTAATTTTGGGAATTGGAACAATTATACTTAACTTTAGTTGATCTGGAAATCTCCCTCTAACCAGGGAAGTAGTGATAAAATTTAGAATAATATGGCCAATGACTGAAAACATAGATTTTATGGTTCTGTTGTTAATTGCTTTTGTATTACACTTATTATCTAAATTAGAAATAATTTATTTTAACATATATATTGTTATGGGATGAATTTACTTATCTTGTACTCAATTTCAGGTAGATTCTTCTGTATCCAAATATTTGAGACAGGTATAATAGTAGATTTTATTTCACTAATACTATTAACAAAATATAAATGAAACATTTCAGCTATTTCATTGATTTAGCAATATGATTTCTATCATTAATTGAAAAATAATTTCTCCTGGTACCCCTTCTGTATTAGAATTGATTAAAGAATTTAATGTTTTCCACATTTTTCTAGTGCCTTGGTAGTGATCAATTGCATTTTCGAAATGTAGATACTTTTTTCTTTTCAACAAATTAACGACTTCATTTCGATATAACTTATATTGTTCCTAGTGATTTTGCTTTTCATCAATCAGTACAGAATTTTTAAAAGATTTATATGCCAGATCCCTATTATGAGACAAAATTTTAACTTCATGATCATACCATGGTACTTGATTTCGGCTGCAGGTAAAATATTTTATTGGAGAAACACTATTAACCACCATTTCAATTTTACTCATAATTTCATCATAAATTCTTCCAATGTCTACAGTATTTAAATCTCAATTGCAAACAAGTAATTTTTCATTCAAATGTTCAAGTTTATTTGGACTAAAATCTCTAAAAGTTTTTATTTTTTTAAAATTGCTAATCTGTTTTATAAATATGGGGTTTTCTTGTAGGTTGCTGAATCAATTGTTCAACTTCTATGCCCAATATAAAATTCTTAAAATCAATTACATATCTATGATCACTAGCATTTTTATAGCATTTTTATTTTTATTTGGTCCACATTGAGAAAAAAAATTTTTAATCAAACTATATGAAACTAATTTAATTACGAGTATCATAACTACAATCCTAATAGTGGCGGTAGAGCTGAAGACAGAGCATATATGCCTTCCTCGCCAATAGCCCGAGATAAACCGCTGGAAAAATAGTACAGAAATAGAAATAAAAGGTCGCAGCTATTAAAATTATGTTGATGACCTAAAAAAGTACATATTCAATTTTTCTCCAGGTCACCAACGTTGCCAAGTGGGGATATTACGGAACCATACACACAGTACCAGACCATACAAAATAGTTCAAAATAGTACCTACACAAATATACACAAACACTTTATATAGTACACAAATAGTAAATATAGTATACAAATAGTACATAAAATATACAAATAGTTTAATCGAAAAAAACACGATGGCTATAGTTATTACAAAGAATAAATCAATAACCATAAGCAAAAGTATGTTTCTAAACAAGTATTTCTATTACAAGGGTACAATGGAAAATAATGATAAATAATGAACATATTCGGTGCAAATAATTTTTGTTTTTCATTCTTTCATGGTTTACCACATCGTTACTAGTATCATCGTCAAAAAAGTCACCTTCTATATCACTCATTTTCCAAATATTATGATTTATAAACAGTATTTCTAAATAAAAGTGTATATCTTTTTGTTATCTACCAAAATGCTATACATTTGTAGGTTAAGTTAACTGAAACTAACCTCTATCAACCCCAGATAGCACAGGTCCTAAGGACGTCCATTAAATTTCCATTTATCGTCTGTACGTCCAGGACCAATTCTGGACGTTTTAAGTATGTCCAGTTTAGTAAATCCTCGGGACGACAATAAATAGATATCCGCAGAACGTCAATTTTACGTGCTTTACTATATTTCCATGGATTCACATTCGCATTGTATTATTATTTGGTTATATTATATAAAAAAACATATATAATGAGATAACATAAATAATTATTAAAGATGGCATAGTCCCAATATCCCATTGAATGAAGGCCAAATAGACAAAAACGAAGGTCATTTGCAAGAAGGGACATTGTTGACAAATGACATTTATTTTTTTATTTTTATTTATTTAGATTCAAGCAGTGAAATATGATACTATGCAAGTATCATTCCGCCATTTGACTGTGATTCGATTCTGTGAGTTTGTGGTTGATTAATATTAATTTTTTGCAGTTTGTACTATTTTTACTTTCCTATCTGTATACAGATATAAGGAAAGTATAGGAATCATGATTTTTTTCGACGGATTTTTACGTTTTGAGGTCCCCTGAATCCGTTTTGACTATTTTTCCGATGATGTATGTGTGTGTGTCTGTGTGTGTGTGTGTGTGTGTGTGTATGTGTGTGTGTGTATGTGTGTGTGTGTATGTGTGTGTGTGTGTATGTGTGTGTGTGTATGTGTGTGTGTGTATGTGTGTGTGTGTATGTATGTATGTGTGTGTGTGTGTGTGTGTGTGTGTGTGTGTGTGTGTGTGTGTGTGTGTGTGTGTGTGTGTGTGTGTGTGTGTGTGTGTGTCGCATAACTCATGAACCGATACACAGAAAAACACTAAATTGTAAACTTAAGCTTTGTTCCAACGTCCAATAAACTGATTATATTTTGAGCAGAGTCGGAACATCTGGGGGGTACTTTATAGGTGGTCATTTTTATATTTTATGAAATATATCTGTTATTTACGTTTGGGCAAAAACATTCTTCAAATAAAAGTTACTTATTATCTATAATTTTTGTTTTATACAAAATTTTCCTAAAATGGTCCGTATTCGGGAAATTTGACAAAATGTAAAAAAATATTTTTTTTATAAAAATTGTTTAAACAAAAGTTGTTTGTAATATAATTCTCTATAATTTTTATTCCA